CCCCCCCTCCCCCCCTCTAAAATCAATTCTCTCCTGGAGATCGTCTTCGTGAGCCTCTCATGATTTCAGGATAGTTGAAACCCTCTTGAACATTCAGAAAGAGTGAATATGAAATTCTAATCACGAAAGGTGTTCCCCGAGGGGATACATACCTAGAGTTTGTTTTGTGAAGCACGTCAATTCTCTCCTGGGGAGCGTCTTCGTGAGCCTCTTATGGTTTCAGGATAGTTCAAATCCTATGATGTTCCGATTCAATGCTCACCGATGATCTGAGCCATGGGGCAAGTTTGTTTTCCTAAGAATCTTTTTGAACATTTCGAGAGCACATGTTTGAACATTTAAAGTGCATATGAACATATATTTACGAAAGGTCGCCTCCGAGGGGATAAATCACCATGTCGAACATTGCATTTTTGTTCCTGCCTCTCGCGTTCTCTTCTCTTCCCGCTGTCCTACCTTTCGTGTCTCCCTCCTCTCAAGTATGCCAGATAGAATGCCAGTATATATATACACATACATGCAAGATAGGCATTGTTTTGTTGATGCTGAAGCAATATAGCCATTGGTTGTCAGCAGAACATAAGGCCATTGTGGGGATCACACGAAGTAACTGTGTTTTGAACGTGTTTTATTCGCTCATGACAACATCAGTATTCATGAGGGTTTGCACCTCCTGTTTAGTTGGCGAGACCTGTCCGGTCAAGAAGGAACAATTGCCCTCGTTCTGATGCAGAACAACTATGTAATAGAAAGCAACCTTCGCAAGGTGAAATTACCTGAGCAGTGCAATGATTATTGAACAGCGCCTCTATACCCTGACTCAGGGTATGGCACCTTGTTGAGGCAGCGAGAGGGCTAAGCCACAGAGAGAGGGAAAGAGGGAGGGCAGCCTTGCTTTGAGGCTCTTTTGTTCAAAGTTCGGGTCCCTAATGTCCAAAATGAGAACACAGCTAAGAAGCCGCAGGAGCAAGTGCAAAACCGAAACAGCGCTAGTAATGTTTTGGGTGCCTGTGTTTACACCCATCGCGCCCAAGAACTCCTATCGAAACTGGTATGCCATTGAGGGAAGCCATCATAACAGCGCAAATAACAAATAAGTATAAGAAGAGATGAGCAACATACTTCTCCTTTTTTATTGATCCTGGATCTGCGTGGCACACTAGCTTTGATGCGTCCACACTGCAACTTCTGTGACATCAGTGTGCCATTGGGGTAAGCTATGGATTCGAGCTTGTTTCCAGATGGTTCTAGGCAACCTATGGGCGAAGCCTTTGCGAGAAGGGTTCCACAAGTGGATTCATGGAGACTCCAGCACAGCGCAAGAGCCATGGGGTTTGCCATTGTCACAGCACATATGTGTATAAACAAACACCTCTTCAGTCAGCGTGGCCTGCAAGCAACATGCTGGGTCAACGGGGGGTTTGCCCCAACGGCACGCAAACATTTCCGACCAGGCAACAAGGTTTTCCGGGGGGGAGCCTGGGACAGTTTCGTTCGTGTTAATCGTTGCGCTGGCCAAACATCGCGTTTCTGGACCGACGTCGTCATGCAACGAGAGCACCTTGAAGGCCTCGCATCGCAGCTTTGTGGCAGCCAGAATCCAGGTTTGGACTCAATGCTATAAGACATTGTAAGAATACACAGAGAGGCTGTGCAAGACATTTGTCCGCCAACTCAAATGTACAGTGAGCTGTCATGGCTCACTTGGGAAGAGGACTGAAGTCGCGCCGCAAAAGGTTCCTTAAGTTGCAGATCATCGACCCGGTGGGAGGATGGGAAAAACTCCAGGATTTGATTGAGTGGTCTTTGAACGGTCTTCAAAATGCACTCAACTTACCGTCTTGGAGTTCACTAGCTCCAAGACGATAAGTTGAGTGTCCCGCAGCACCAAAAACCATGTAAAACGCATGGTCTTCTGATCCTCTGCATGTTGCAGTCGGGGCAACCCAACTCCCCCGGTTTACCCAACATGTTGTAAAGCGTTCATGAACACACACTCGCCAAGCGGAAATATGTCCTTTACATATCGCAAGATAGGAAAAACGCACCAGAGAAGGCAAAACGCAAGCGAACCATAGTTTCTGTTGTGGACTTAGTGCACATCCGGCAAACAATTGAAGCAGATGTGCCATTGGGATGGTGTGGGATTGGTGCAAACGGTGTGCCATGGGGATGATGTGATTCTAGCCCCTGATTTGGGTAAATTGATGTAAATTGTTGGATGTTTGTACGCTGGGGGTGATGTAGAGTCCAGTAGGGCCAAACAGAGCACCAAACAATGAACCTATAGCCCAGAGTCTATTAGTCAGTCATATTTACTATTTGCTAGATGTGACTCTGGCGACTGGGAGACTTTGCCACCTTTGGAAACACCAATGTTACATCTCTAATCTCTAATCATCAACCCACCTTCCACCACATGATTGTTTATACCGGCTTGTCAGAATGGAGCACCAAAGATACCTAGAACCTAGAGCCACCATCTACAGCCTAGAACCATCCAACTCTTGCCAAACCATCTCTACATGGCTGCTTGCTGCCCATGTTTCTTGGTTTGGCGGTTTTTGAATGAAAAGCCATCGTGATTCATGGAGGAACTGGATCTTGTTCTTGGAGTTGTACTTATATATATATATATTACATTATCCGGCATTTTTTTAGAAAAAATGTTTTGAATATGTCATAGTAGGTGCAATTTTGGTGGTTTCGAAGCAAGGTTTCAAATAGAAGAAAATGCATGGCGCAAGAGGTCCTTTGTTGATGTTTTTTTTTGATGTTTTTGGGCACTCTGAGCTCCAATATCTTCTAGTTGAACGGTCTCGCCAGAGAAGCAGGATTCCATTGTATTTACAGTGAATTCTTGAAGTGTTGGATGATCTTGTCCAACATTTAGCCGGGACACACGGTGCAAGTTAAACCCAAAAAATCAGAGGACCTAGTGCACCATCCAAGATTTCCAGAATCCCGGTACAAAACGGTAAAAATCCTCGAGTTGTTGTTAGTGTTTTTCTGAAGGTCAGATCCACAAGACAGCAGAACAACAAGTGAAGGTCAAATAGAAGATATTGCCA